GAACTCACAGAGATCCGCCTGGCTCTGCCTCCCGAGTGCTGGGATTAAAGGCGTGCGCCACCACCGCCCGGCTTAAATTTATTTTCTATGAAGTCCAGCTTGTCTATTTTTTTCTCTTGTTGTCTGTACCTTTGGAAACACAGAAATCAAACAACAAAAACCGCGAAGTTTTTGTTCTTTTGTACTTTCTTGTAAGACGTTTAGATAGTTAGGTGTTTGGTGTACTTTGAACTACTTTGAAGTAGTTAAGTGTATTTGTGTTTGTTTTGCCTGCTCGCATGTCTATGCATCATCGACACGCATGGTACCAGTACAGGCCAGAAGGGGGCCTTGGCTCCCCAGCCCCCTGGAACTGAAGTTATGGGTGGTTGTAAGTTTCTGTGTGGCTACTGGGAATCAGTGGAACCCAGTCCTCTGGGAGAGCAGCCAGTTATTGTTTTGTTGTGTTTTGTCTTAACTTCTTTGTCTAGATTAATTCCTTAGTATTTTATTATTTTGTTGCTGCTGTAAACAGATGTTAGTACAAAGAAGTTCTTAGTTTTCGCGTGTTGATTTGATGTCAACTCCACTAAATTGGGTCCTTTTTTAGATTTATTTTCATTTGTTTGTTTATTATTTATGTTTTTGAGATGGCGTTTCCCTGTGTAACAGCCCAGGCTTATCTTGCAACTCACTATGTAGACCAGGCTGGCCTGGAACTCACAGAGATCCATCTGCCTCTGCCTCCTGAGTGCTGAGATTAAAGGCGTGGGCCACCACTGCCCAGCTACTTTTAATTTTTAATCGTGTGTGTGTGTGTGTGTGTGTGTGTGTGTGTGTGTGTGTGTGTGTGTATGTTGTCCGTGTGGAGGTATGTGCATGTGAGTACCCACCATGGTCAGAGGGGTCCGATTCGTCCACCCATTATGGATGCTGGGAATTGAATTGGGGTCCTCTGCAAGAGCAGTATGTACTCTGAACCCCTGGGCTGTCTCTCTGGGGCTAAATTTGCCTTCTTAATTTTGACAATGTTTTACAGACTCTTCAGGGTTTTACACACACATGATCATAACATCTGGGAGAGAGGTCATTTTACTGTCTCTCTCCCCACCCCTCAATTGGGATGCCTTTTATTTCTTTTCCTTCCCTAATTGCCTCTAGTAAAGCTTCCAGCAGCATGATGGGCAGGAATAGCGAAAGTGGGCCGCTCTGCCTTGTTCCTCATCTCAAAGGAAAAGCTTCCCGTCTTGCACTACTGAACACAATGCTCCCAGTGCTGATGCTTGTATGGAGAGTATATGGGAAATCTCTGAGAGCCTGAAACTATTCTAAAAATATAATCTGTCTAAACTTCAATCAGCCACTGGGCCACAGATCCAAACACTCGCATGGCAGTGTCCTTTGTACCCACGGGGCTCCCACAGGCTATATGAGAGCTGTTCCTGGAATGAGTGCCTGGCTGTCTGCCAAAAGGTTGAGTGGTAGCTGGAAAACCGTTAACGTGCCAAGAGCTGAAAACGACCAAAATTAACAGCCATTTGCCATCTAAGGCTTCTCTGTGAAGGTGCAAGCCTGCATTGTGCTCCATAGTTTACAGCCATTTTCTATCAATGTTATTGCTTAAAGATGGGCTTGTGCTATAAAAGGAGGTATTTATTCACCTGCGCTCCTCACCCTAGCCCCATTGCTAGGGCCTCTGTGTACTGTAAAAGAAGAGAAGAAGGAGAAAAACAGAGTTGATGTTGAGACTATGTAGCTAGATTGGTAGGTTTGGTGGTGGCCGCTTTCTCTCTCTCTTTCTTTCTTTCTTTCTTTCTTTCTTTCTTTCTTTCTTTCTTTCTTTCTTTCTTTCTTTCTTT